TCAGCAGCTGAAATTTTACTCAAGCCTTTTTCAGCATTTGGACACCCTTTAATCTTTTAAATTATTAAGTTTCACATGTATGAAAAAAAAACCAAACAAAACCATAACAACATTCCAGCTTACATTCTCTATGACAAATGTCCATTCTTTGTCTTCAAACTCTTCAGCATGGGGATCCTAGAAAAACAAACCAGAGAACTTAAGTCTAAAAATAATCCAGGGTGCAATAAATTGTAACTCAGCCAAGATTTTCATATACTCATAGAAATATTTTTACCCACTGAAGATGACAGAGGGAAATATTTTAGCTAGGATGTAGGCTTCAATGGATGTCAGTAAGATGACAAGCAAGTTGGTGTAAAACTGCCAGTGAGGATATAATAAGGACTCCTACAGATACAAACATGAGGTTGATTCTCATAAAGGCCTGTAATTCTATTTCCTTTCATCCAGAGGAGAAAAATAAAACAGATAAATCTCTCTTTAATTCCTAAGTTCCACCTCCCAAATAAACACAACAAATCTATACCTTGCAGAGAACAGTGGAGGAAGCCACTGCTCCCACCTGGCGTGAGAAGGCATACGCCTACAGCAAGCACCACCCCAACCTTCTCATGCCCCGACTCCATCAGCATGAGCAGAGATCCAAAGTCACAGCTTCAGCACAGTACCTCATTTCACTGCAAATTACCTATCCTTACTTCACAACATTTCTATTGCATCACACGTGAGGATCAGAAAACATTTTCCCCAACAGGAAGATAAGTAACAACGAGGTTCGTATATTTGGCATTTATTTCCAATTCATGAGCTTTCTATCTGGTGGTGTGGGTCTGTATTGTTGTTGTCTGAAATTAAGATAACAGTGGAGACATTAAGTCATCCCGTTCATGCCTCTATCAAGAATCCTACTTTAAAAAAAAAAAACTTCAAAAAAAAAATCATTAATTTATCATCCAATCCTAGTTCTGAACAACCGTAACAAAATAACTTCTACTTGTCTTGCAAAACAGCTTCTCACACTAAGAGAACGTGCCTTTAGGCTTTCTTTGGACATGAAGCCTAATTTTGCTATACCTCAATTTTATCCTATTATTCCTAGTTATAGGAAACCACTCAATTACTCCTTTGCCTCCGATGCTTGCATGCTATAGACACTTGTAGGTAAATGTCACTTCCCCACAATCAGCATTTGCCATCATCATATATGAGACCCCTCAGCACCTGCAGAGTTTTCTTGCTATTATTTGGAGCCTGCTCATGATACTACACCAGGCACTGCAACAATTCCATCCTGCTGCTGTAAATTAACAAAATGGATCAAGATATTTTGCTTCTACTTTGTTTATCTCCATTAGTACCATCTTTCCTTTCTTTCCAGGATGCTACAAGCCTCACATTCAATCTTTTCAACTCACCTGATCTTAGTGTTTGCTTTAACCATCCTAGTTTCACTTAGTTTTGCCTTGAAGTCAGACACACAGTGAGTAGAGGTACTGTATCGCAGTACTACAAATGATTCTTTTAACCAGTTCTCATCAAATACACAAAGTAAAACATTTTGTAACTAACAAGCTTACAGCGTAAACAACCAGCAAAAAGGATTTTTTTCTTTTTCCAGCACACAAAAAAACTTGGAAAGTGTGCTCTTAAACAAACAGCCTCTTTGAATGAACTACAATAACCTTTGTAAGAGGATATCATCTTATCTCCTCCAGCACAATGCCTTCTACAAAATCCAGAAAAGTGGGTTCACTGCTCTGCAGACCCCCTGTAAAACACTGGCTCTCCTTGCAGGAGGAGTCCCGCTGGGCATCGACATGCTGATGGAGGAAACTCAACAACACGTCATACTGCTGGCACCATCATTAGCTATATATTTAACAGCTACAACCACAGTTGTCATATGCAATACGCGTTTTTAAATGCATTACTCTAACAATGGAATGTAGTTTCAATGAAAAAAAAATGTTACTAGAAACTTACGTTGAAACTGATGGTTTATTTTGATAGATGAATAATCTATCTAAAATCTTTTTGGAATTCTTTTAAAAATCAGAATAATTTAAATACTGTGAATGAGTGTAAAAAACATACTGTACCGTTAGCCATAAGGATAGAAGGGCAAGTAGATATATACAAAATTATACTGAGGTATCTCTGTGTTCCAATTAATGTACTTGTAAATATCAGATTATGTAATTACATGTCCATCATATTAATCAGGTCTGTGGAATTCTGCATTATGTAAATGAAGTGCACGATACCTGCTGGTTTGCTGTACTCTATACAAATTCTAAAGATATAATTTTCTGTAATCCAGCTATTAAACACTTATCATTTTCAAGAGTTAACCCGGGGCAATTACCTTTTTGTTTAATTGCTTCCTTTGATACAGCATAAAATGACATAATGAGATTTAATGGGATCATTAATCACTTTATGTTTTAATAAGCTACTCCATAATAAGTGACTAAACTCTTAAATATTTCATCCTGCTCAATTTTTTTCATAACTCCCCCAAAAGCTATTAATGCAAGCTTGCAGGTTTACCTAAAACTGCTTGCAAAGTCAGGGCCCAGTATTTTACCCCATGTAGCAAACAAAACAATTGTTGTTTTGTTCATGCAAGGCAATAATCTATAAAGAAAAACAAAACTCTTCTATCAATGGCATTAAAACTGATTCACACCTCTGAAGGCTACAGAATCAGGTGCTCTGCTGAGTATTTCTGATAATCTGATAGCGCAGAATAATACTGTATAATGAAAAGACTTCTTAATATTCAACATTTTAGTATGCACTTAAAAGTGACTTGTGTACACTTTTGAAAAATAAACACGAGTGTATTACCACCAAACTCCCTACCAACTACCCAGAATAAAAAATAAAAATTAAAAGTTTCAAGGACTTCTCTAATGAACAGCCTTACCAAAAGCTGGGAGAGTATGAAATATGCTAAGATATGGACACTTTGCATATGTGTAAGATATTTCAGATTTAAAGACAAATCTGGATTTTTTTTTTAAAAGCCACATTTCTTGTTAGTCTTAAAACACCTATAGAAACAGAAAACCCCGAATAAGCTTATACACATAAGCCTCAGCATTTCCTTCCAACAGATATGTAAGTGGCTTCACTCTTCTCACTAAAATGCTTTTATTAGAAGCCCAGGGAGCAGCACGCATAGTGCTATTTCTCGCTAACTTACAACTTTATTACGTGGTCAGCATTACCAGATACTTGTATGATTATAGTTACAACAGTTTCTATTGCAACCACCTTTCACTCTTTGGGCCAACATTTCCACGTATGGTCTCCATAAAAAGTGATGTTTCTATAAATCTGGCTAATCTTTCATCTTATTTTGAAGAGGGTACATACCAGCAAAAAAACATAACAACACATACTTCCCTGACTGGCTAACCCATATTCTCCATACATTTCCCACATAAAACTCATGCGATGAATTTAGCAAACTTTGAGGACTACACAGCTGAGTACTCTTTAGGAAAAAAAAAATGCCATTGCAAAGAACAACAATTTTACGAGTAACAGTTATAGCAGCCTTTGAAATTTTCACTGTATGGAAGCGCTCCCTGATAACACAGCACACAAAACCTGACCTCACCTGCAAGCAGATACAAGTAATCACTGAAAACGCACAGCTGGAAACACCTAAAGACAAGAGTTACAGACAGGCCTCATTCCCATCCTCCTTCCTGAAAGCAAATGATAATGAAAATTACGTAAAAATCTCAAGGAACAAACAGTCTCCAGTATTTTTCTCAGCCTGAAACTGCCTCGTACCTTGCCGTAACACAAAGGGAGTTGGCAAGAGCCATTTTTTGGATAATGCTCATTTTCTTTACCAACATACCACAGATGCAGAACTATACCCTATCCAATATTCATTATGGTTTTGCCTTGAATTGGGAACTGAGTATTTGGGCAAATGGATTAAATGGCTTGTTGCTCCTCCTCATTTTATTGTGTAAAAGAGAATTATCATTCTTTATATCAAGAGATGGGCCCCATTTTCCTGTTTCTCTTTGCATATGCATTCACCTCTCAATACGACACTCCTTTTCAGTATTTCAACTAAGATTTAGAGCCTTCTTTTTTTCCCCTACCCTTTTTCTTTTCTTTTTTTTTTTTTTTTTCCTGGTAAGATGACTTTAGTGTTCAAAAGTAACGCCCAGGTGAGAAGCCAACAGTAGGGAACTGTGCAGAGGACAGGACATCATCTTACGGTTCTCCTACAGTGAGACTCTCAAATAATCTTTTCCCCAACTCTCAAGATCAGTAGAGTGCTTTGGTCCACCAGCAAAAACCTAGCCCATCTCGCATTTTCCCAGTAACTGTGTTAACTACTTTTCTAGAGATATGCTGGCCCTCAACAAGCTCAGTCCTACAAATTTTCTCTGCAATCCCACCCATCAGTTTCTTTCTGTGACCCCATTCTGCCCATCCGCATGCCAACTGCCTGAAAACAGACAACTCTTCTGGGCTCGGGCAAGGGAAGAGCAACAAGGACTGTGTCTGCCACATTTTTCTGTTCTTTGTTGATGAGTCCATCATCAGCCCGTTCCACAAGGAGCTTTGTCAAGGACTAGATCCTTTCTGCAGTGTATAAGGTGGTTCAGAAGACTGAAGAAAGGTAACCCTTCTCCAATAGTTGAGGTTGTTTTCAAGAGTTATTTCTGTATCTCTTGTAATAGGAATGAAAGACATCAGCAGACAAAGGACTGCTCCTTCTCCTAATCAGCAGCCAGAGCGGGTGGGGAAGATCTTCAGACTGTTAGTCCCTTCCTCCCTTCCTTCCCCATGCCTCCTCCCTAAGCTTTCCTGGCTTTTGAAGCTTGCCTTTCAATTAGATCGCTTCATACCAGCCTTAATCTTCAGTCTTTCTTCTTGGGGAATAACTACTTAAGGACTGTCATATTGAATCAGATCAAATAATGACAGAGTTTGTGATCTTCCTCCACCAGTGACTTATAGCAGATGCTCCGGGTACTCCAGCATCTGTCCTCAGCTTTTGTACTTGGCTGTTTGAAGCTGCAGAAGACTCAAAATTTGACCCAATTCTTGTCGCTTGCAATGCTGCTTACAGAGGTCTGATTAGTCTAGAGAAATTACATACAACTCTTGTCAGCTTTTGTTGAGCTTCCAGAAAGCAGGGAACTCTGAGAAGACAGAACTGTCCCTGTACATCACCACACTAAGCTCACAACAGCTCCCACTTTCCTGTAAAGCCTCTGGGCTAGAAAGGCAACAAGGATTTTTTTTTTTTTTTAATATTTTTTACAATTAGTTCCCACACTAACCCTGGATATTTAATTTTTTAGTGTGCAAATGTGGTCACTTCCCTGAGCTTATGATTTTTATATCTGACACACAACATCTTGTCTTGCCTACAGGACTGTTTTTCCCTCCTATGGAATATTCTCCCTAGTGTCCAGTCAGGCCACTGGTCTCTACTAAACTGAAACAAGTATGTTCTGAACCTGGATTTGTTCCTTGCTTCTGGAAAATGGCTTTATTGGAGGATTTTTGTTTGTTTGTTTCATTTCCTTCCCTGAGACAACATACTGACTCTGCTGCAGTGTTCCTGCTAGTGCGTGGCCAGTTACTGCACTATAATCAAAGCACATGATTGACTCGGGCTTTCAAGAAAGATGATATGGGATTTATTCTGAGAGATATATGGGGATGGGAATACTTTCAACAACACAAGCCTCCTTTTATCATCCGTTTTATTCTTCTTTACTCATAAGTAATTTTTTGTGTGCTTAGAAAGCTATGCCTTTAAAAATGTCTCTTTCAAACTTTGGAATGAAGAGCTCGTCATCTTCCCTGTTGTTGTAATAGTACATTGGTGTGATAAACCATGCATACTACTGATAAAACAAGTGGTTTCAGTAATCCAGTGAAGCAAAGTCCATGCTTACTCCAGACGAACAAACATTTTTGCTTGGGAAGTTCACTTTGCTTTTAAGCTAGAAAATAATGATGTTGCAATTTAAATCCTCACAGTACAACTGATGTTCATTTAGCTTTGCTAAAAGCACTGGGCTTGCTTGGCAGTAAAAATTTCTCATTTAAAATCTCTCTCAGTTGATACGTGTGCTTGTACATAAACCCACAGAAAAGTATACAAGCTTTCATATATGATGGTTAAACCTTGCTAATGCAGGGACTCTAAAAATGAACTTCTGGAGTCCAACCCTGGAAACAATGAAAAATGGGAATTCAGCTAGCTTTTCTGGCATTTGTGGATCTTTCCATGAAAGCACTACAAATCATGGACTTAAAATGCACAATAGGCTTATTGTTTCACACTATTTCTTTCTCTCCATTTTGGTTGAAAAACCCAAGGCATAACCAAACATCAGTGTAGAGGAAGGCAAAGGAAGAAGTTAAACTTTCAGAACAGGTGGAACTTTTTATTTAATTAGCACTTCAACCGGCTGGATGGGCAGGAGCTACAGCTAGTTAAGGGAAGGTGAATCAATATATCTATTTGATGCTTTTCCCCATATGACTCCAGAGCATTATGAAGTCTTACCAGCAGCCCAGAATTAAGTGAAGTGAGACAAAAAGTTTTTATTTATTTGAAATGAAAGTTTTCTAAATGAAGGTTATAGTCTCTTCAATATTTAGCCTTGCTTGCCTAAGAATTACAAATACATTGTTGGAAACAAGCTAACACCCAAAATAGGGATGTGCAGATAATGCAAAATATCTCGTCTGTTGACTGATCACAGGCACTTTGCTAGCCAGCTCTCAAGTGTCCAGGGTTGACTACTGGAGAGGATATTCTTAACATTCTCATCAGCACTTGAAACCTTGACTTATCTCCTAATCCTACCAGCAACACATTTCAACAGCCACTTACAAATGCACAGCCACTACTATGTGAATCATTTCCCAAAACACATAGCTGTCTATTCTGGAGTCTGCTCTTTCCCCTCCCTGCACTTCTATTATGTTTCTGGACTGCTCTTTCCCTTCCCTGCACTTCTATTTCAAACAGCACCACCGCGCTAATTTGTTATCTGTGATTGCTACAAAGCTCTGTCAGAGCAACCTGCTCCCATCAGTGGGCTCTGCCAGTGTGGACCTGGAGTCAGCAGCTTCCCTCAGCGTCTTGGGTTGTAATGAAAGAGGACAACCACTGTTTGGTTAAACAACACAGCCACACTAGGTGTACTTACTGCGAAGTGCCAACCATTCAGCACTCACAGGGGACTGGCTCCTAAGGGACTTTTTCAGAACTGCAAGATGAGCTGTCTTCTTTTGAACTTTCATTGTTTTCTCCTCCCTCCTTCCAGAGGAAGGAACAGTATAAATACCTGACTTGTAAGTCAGCTCCCAAAAAGGCTGTTGCAGCGTGCTGTTACATACTTCCCTTCCCACTACTCTAAGCGCTGACCAGCCAATGCACCAGCTGTGCAAAAAAATAGCTAGTTCTTTTTGACCATCTTTGCCCAGAAGGTACCAGCTACAGAAATGCCAGCTCTCCAGGTGTTACGACATACCCCACGCTACAGCTGAAGTGCCGCTGTAGCACTGAGCCGACAGAGCCATCCAAGGACTGGGCACAGCGGAAACTGCGCTACCACCGTATTCTGCCTGCAATCACGTATCACCCGCAGCTCATTCACCCCGGCGGGCTGCTGATACCGCACAGATACAGTGCTCCTGCTGCATTACCCAACTTGCTCAAAAAGCGCCGCTCTGTACCACACCTGCATATCCTTACAGAGAAAAAGGTGGGTTTGGCCGCTTACAGGCACTCTTGGTGGAGGAGCCAGAGGATCAATTAGAGCAGATTTACATAAAAGCTGCCTGACAATATGATGCTTTTTGCATAATCTCAATATTTGGATTATAAAAGCCTGTGCTTGCTCCCCCAGAGATCAGCGTGTCCCATTCCCTGAAGGCACAGCCTCTGGTGTTATTCACGCTCCTCCCTCTCCTCCCAGAACACCACTTGCAATGGGCAGGCTCATTTTTGGGGAGCAGAGGAGGCAGCCCAGTGAACAGATCTGCCTGCAGAGTCATGGTGCTAGGTAAAATTAAGGCTGTAGTAATACCTAACACCGGCTCCAGAGGCCCTTCTCTCTCCTCGCTATCTGGTCCTAGCCCTCACACTCACTTTCAGTGGCACAACTGCAAGTTTGTTGTGCTGGACTACAAAATATAGCCCTGAAGTGGTGCAGGTAGGAATAAAAAGGTAGTGTGGGATGGCAGGAGAAGGCTGGGAAACGCTTTTACTCCAAAGCATCACAGAGCTGCACCCAAAAGAAACTTAATTTCTCATTCTTCATGTAACATGTTATCACATACACAATCAAGAATTGTGTACATTTCTGTTTCACTTTAAATGTTAAAAATATTAAGTAACATTTACTGCTTTACATAACCATATTCAGATTATATGGACACGCAGCGTAGTCACATAATGGTGCTAAACTTCTTAATACAAGTAGAGACCCTTGAAGCATGCAGAAGCAAACAATTTTTGCTAGTGAACTTTTGAACCTCAGTTGAAGACTATGTGTCTGCTAAGGAGACAAATTTATGATAGTTAGCATCACTGGCAACCTGGGAAGTTTCTGTTTATTGGTGATCCCAAGGACAAAAAGAAAAAAAAAAAAAAAAAAAAAAAAGAGAAACCCTCTTTTTAGGGTTAATGAACCAAGTAATAAATTCACATTCTGAGGGTAACCAGAAGCCACTTCTAAGCAGTTATTCAGAGAAGTCCCCAGGACAAAGAAATATAAATATTACTAATTAGAAAAAAGTATGTTACTGTTGCCCTAAGCTGTAAAGGGAGCAATTATAGATAAGAACAACCAGAGTGTAGCTGGAGACACCAGAGTAAAGAGCAAGAAAGAACTAATGGAATGAAAATCCCAGAAATCACCAGCCTCCCGGTCAGCCTCCTATGCTGTCACACATGCAAAGTTGCATTGTTTATCTTTATGCAAAAAGGACTTTCCCCAATGATATTTGGGAAATAAGTTCTAGCATAACCATCAATTTCTCCTCCTGCTTCGCAGCCACACAAATAAGCTTCTTTTTTTTAATAGAACAAATGCAGTTCCTAAAAAAAAAAATTCCCCCGTAAAATCTTATAATTCTCTGCACTACTCCAATACTCCGCATCCACCCCTACGATTGCAGTCATGTAAGTACTGTGATGTTTGTGTGGCATACTAAATACTATGAAATTAAGAGCTGGATTCCGTTTCCTAGTCAATAGCGTTAAGAAATAGGGTCAACTGCACTGCAACTGAACAAGGAAGTCTAGAAATGGCTGTGTTTTGACAGCTTCTGGCTTACAGTATTTAAAGAAAACCAACCAGACTATAACCCGTGCCAAGCCATTACACATGTACTACGTGCGCAGTTACACATGTACTAAATTCTATGCCAATGACTAGACATAATCAGCTCAATGGGATATTTCAGTGTGTTAACTAAACTACCAAAGTAAGCTTTGGCAGGGAACAGACCATCCTTCTCTCTGGGATTTAAGCTGGGGACATAAGGTTGTGCAGTTAACAACTTAAACCCAGTAAGATTAGGCCTTTGTGATTACAATCCGTCATTTCCAAACAGAATTTTTCATATGCTGTTTATGAAATAGGAAAAGATTATGCTTTAAAAAACATACCTTAAAGAGCGTCACAGTAATTTCAACATTTTCAGGAACTGGCCATACCACTACCCCACGGTATGGGTTCTTGATTCCAGGCTGCCAGCTATGAGCCTAAAAGAAGAAAAGAAACAGTTGTCTTAAAGCCATTATAATAAGTGCTGACTCAACTCCCACGGGACCCAGCGTGTATAGGTAGAAGTAACATGTCACTGACTCCAGAAAGGCTGCTTTCTTAAACCTATGACTCTGCTGAACACTATAAAGGACATAATTAAGAATAAGAGTAAAGAAACTCAGACCACTAGCAGGCATTTTTTTCCACTGAACTAAAGCTGTTCCTCACAAGGTCCTAAACTCTGTTTTTTTAAGTACATAGCACAGGTCAGGACACTCAGAGCCTTGCAAAAATCAAGGCTGTAAAGCCAGAGCTTCTGTAGCAAGCTGAGCTTTATTTTGTTTTTATCCAGATGAGGGAATGCTTTTATTTAAAGAATACTTGATGAGTACAGCACATAGTGCAGGCTTAACCATGTTTAGACCTAAACAGAGCAAACAGACATTTCTATTTAAGAAAAAAAAAATTATTTATAATACAGATTAAATGCTACTGAAGCATTTAAATTCTTAAGAATTAATATGCTAGGGTACCTATACCTCGAAAAGGCAATGATAAAAACACACTAAAATAGACTAAGAACCTGTCTACCTTTGAGTATCAATTTGGATTGATGTATGGTCTGTATTTACATTTTAATAGCTAGTCCTGAAAAACACCATGTGTAAGCATTTCTGTTTCAGAATAAGTATGCTTTTTTCCAAGCTCAACTTAATCCATTTTGTGATGCTGTAAGACAAATGAGGGAGGGATGCTGATGCACAAGTGACTGCTGAGCAACATAGGGCTCATTAAAGATCTGTGGAAGTTTTATCAGGAAAGAATATACAACCTATTTACTGTTATCTGAAGCCAATTAACTGGGCTTTTTTTCTTGTTTTAATTCTAGAGCATCATTCATTGCAGTTTTATACTCCTTCCAACACTCAGAACTTCAGATGAAGACTGCCTATTAGAAGAACTTTTTGCTACAGTAAGGTTAGTAGGACTTGTGCCTCAGGTTCTCAGGTACCCTAAGATAATCTGGGCAACTTTAAACATGACTTTGCTATATCAAGGTGGGAAAGACAAAGATGGTGAAACAGTCCCATTCAATCACATAGAGGCAATAATTCTCTGCCGCTCTGTACTGTAAGCGGTGTGCACTCCAGACACCAGGTTCGTATCTGACAGCCCCATCACACACGCCTGCTGCTTCATGAGCCCTCTTGCATTCAGCTGGGCTTTCACCAGAGCCTGCAGTATCACAGGTACCTGCAGTACAGTCGCTCTTTCTCTAATCCTTCAATCCTCACAAAGCAGAAGCCTGCAGATTAACTACAGGTGACAATAACTGCTAAGGCAGCAGGGGCAAGGAGAAGGATGAAGGGAGAGGCAGAGGAGCTGCAAAGAGATGTGAAGCTGAGGAACGGGGAAGCTGCTGGCAGAATCCAGCCTGCGCAGCCACCAGAGAAGAGAGCCCTACCTGCCTCCGCAGCTACATGCGCGCACCATGCTCATTTCCATCCCGTTATTTTTATTTTCTTGCTGAACACTGCCAGCTCTCCTGTGGTTTTATCACAAGTTTTTCCATCTTTGGTGTTCTGCTTAAAACCCCATCTCCCAAAGATGCCTAATTAGATAAGAAATTTCAGTAAGTTTCTATGCTTTGTGCTTGCAGAGTAAACTTAAATAACATAACTTGGGGCATCTGAAGAAATTACTTTAAAAAAAGAGCAACTTGAAAGAACCCAGTTTCTACTATTTTTAACTCCACGAATTTCAGCCTAATCTCATTATTCTAAAGGAGGCCTGGATGAATTTCTGAATAACTGAGCAAACAACGCTTCACAGCTTTACTCCCCAAGCACACTTTATAAGAAAAGGATGTTTTGTGAGCAGCAAAACACAACACAGTAGTTGTCATCCCTACCACAGGCGCTCGAGCTCCAGTCTCCCTTCCACAGGACCCACAATCCCCCACGTTGTTCTCAGCTTGCTTGATAGGGATATTCAGCAGGCACAAGGCAGCGATCCAGAGCCAGGCGCGCGCTCACCTGCCAGCTAGCCTGTCCTCGTGTAGCATCTTGTAAGATAAATCAACCTCTCCTCCACAGGGGCACTCCATCCTCTTTCCAGATACCAATTTTCACAAAACTAGTAAGAGCTCATGGCGTGTCTGGAACCTGCACTTTCCTGCTGGTTTTGGCCAATACTGACAATTATGTCAAACTTTTGATGTCCAAGGTGCAGGCACTGACAGCCTGCTCAGTTGCGGATCACTTGTTCCATTTATTAAAAAAAAAAAAAACACCAAAAAAACCACCTAGAAAACGAGCATTCACTGGTGCAGGCAAAGCTTTACTTCAAGCCCTTTATCAGCATTGCCTCCCACCAGGAGAGTTAGTGAGACACAATAAACACACACACAGATACATATGATTTTCTGTCACTGTGACAGGCATGTCACTGAAAGCAACAACCAGGAGAAAAGCCCTAGCTAATGAGCTTTTAAAGCAAAGCTGTTCTGTGATCAGCTGAATGTTATTAAATCCTCCTTTGGCTTTGAAAAATAAACACTGTACCACAGAAACAGTGTGACAGAAAAAGATAACATCAAAACTACATCTGGGTTGTTGGAAAGGAGAAAAGGAAATGGGAAAGCAAAGGGGGGGAAACACAGAGGAAGGGCTAACAATGACGATAATTTAAAATTAATATGGAGAGTGTTATTCTAACACAATATTTCTCATTGTCAGGGACCTCTGTGTTGCAGTTTCTTGAGGTTACATCTGGCCTATATCAAAAAACCTTTTCAACTCCCAAATTATAAGCCTCAGCTTTGATGTATGAGCTGGATCAGGCCACCTCTGTGCAGCAGAATTGCCAACACTTCCAGACAGGCGACTGCTGTCAGGGCTCAGCCAAGGTGAGGCGCTGCATCTGCACAGTTCATTTCCACCCTAATCCTCACTTCCAACTCAATTTCCCACTGGGTTGCGCCTCATAGGCCCATTTTTTCCTCATCTCCTTCACTAACCATCTCCCCTTGTCTCTGAAGCCAAGGCGAGAGAAGCAGCCAAGCAGAGGTGACCACTGGCAGCGGGCGCCTCGCCCACAGCCCTCCCCTTGCCGCATTCGTCTCCTTAATCCGAGGGACGAGAGCCATGGCCTGGAAAGAGAAGCAGAAATGCTCTGTTGCATTTCAAGGAGAAACTCAACTCCTCCCTTTTTCTGCCAGTGGAAAATGAGAGGAGACGATGTAGCGTGAAAGCTCTTTTAAATCAGGAAACAGGAGCTACAGGACAGGTTGCTGAAATACCCTATAAATAGAGTAGGGCCGTGAATGACATTGTCCAACCTACGGCATTGCTCGGGCACAAACCTGATGATTGTTAAGAGGAAGAAAGCTGTTTAAGAAAGGACGTGGAGGTGAGCTGAATGCAGATTCATTTTTGTGATAGTTTTCTGGGACTTCTATCACCACATCTCAGAACGCCACCAAAATGTAACTTTATGGGATCCCTGGAAAAAAGAAGGGTATTATGGTCCCAAATTTACAAGCAGTGAAAGAGCAGCCAGTTTCCACTAATTTTGCATGGTCTGCTTAAATCAGTTAGGACCTTACTTTATAGGGATTAAGCATGAAACAACCTTTCGTTTTGTTTTCCCAAGCAGACTTTTTTCACTTCAAGTGCAATGATGGCTGCTCAATGCTGCTGCAAGTCAGTCCCCATGCCCCAGACACCCACTAAATGGAAAGATACATCAAATCTCGCTTTAATACTCTATCTAGCCTCAGTCAGGAACGTTGTACATGAGGATGGGACAAAACTGAATTCACTAAGGCAGGATTTAACCACGTAACAGTGAGGCAGTCTTTTCTGTTCATGACCTATACCTTCTTTAACAAACACCCTCGAACTTCTTTACCGATGAAGCAGTTTTGCTCACCACTCAGTCCTCATGCTCTCCCTAACCACTGTCTGCTTAAGAAGGTGGCAATGCTGTAGGAAAACAATTTGCAGTTGCCTTATTAAGGACTATATCATATTCCTAAAAGGGTACGTGCAGACCATTAGAATGATTCATCGTAATTTTGACCGCTTTGCATTTGCAACCCAACATGATTTCCTTACTTTACTAATAAACCGAGAAGCCCCAGGAGTGCCATTACTGAACTGCGCTGGTCCCAGTCATCGGCACATCAGAGTCACAACATGCCTTTGTAACTCCAGTCAGTGAAGGAGCTGGTAGTGACAAGCAGGGCTAGCACTAGGCAATGAAGTAGCCAGAAAAGGCAACAGATTGCCAAGGACAACAAAACAGGTGACCCAACTGCTGCTTTATTGATGGGATATCCTTACAAAAGGCCAGGCGGGCTGCTGTTGTGGACAAGGGATCGTTTTTACTCCCTGTCCCCCTGCTTCACTTGGCTCTGCTCTCACTGTTAAAGTCCTTTCCCTGTTCCCAACCTTGCTCCTTCTCCTCTGTTTGAACAGTTTTCAATAAACCTGCAGCAGAAGTGCTGAAATCACAGGCAAGGAACCTTCTTTCAGCTTTGATACAAAAAGGATCTTTGAAGAATAATTCTGTCAGGCTCTCAGAAGCAAGTGCAAATTTGATTCTTCAGACGTGTATAATTCAACTGTAAGCCTGTATGTGTTCACAGGAATAGCACAAAGTACCTCCTTGACATCATGGCAGCATCTCTTTTCAAATTGAAATGTCTTAGTTCAAAGCCTGGAAATGTGAGAGAATCTCAATGAAATGAAGGTAAACATTTACAACACATTTTTCCCTTGTTCTACACTAGAACAAAGACCTTCCTCCCCCACTCAAAAAAAAAAAAAAGTAAGTCCAAAAGCCCAGGGCCTGAAAACCTGGGAGCAACATGCCAGTGCGACAGGGTACAGAAGAGGAAGAGTTAAGCAAGTCCACTGCTTCAAGCTCCACCTTCTGTAAACTGTGGAGGCTGGTAACCATCTGAATGAGGTTTGAAAAGCTGTGGTAAGCC